AGAGAGAGAGAGAGAGAGAGAGAGAGAGAGAGAGAGAGAGAGAGAGAGAGAGAGAGAGAGAGAGAGAGAGCTTAGTTTCTGGTTCATGAACGTGGTCTTTAGCGAGGTCCAAGTCCAGGGAAGTGCACTGTGCTCGGTCGTGTTTTCGAAGGCGTCTGGGTTGTGGCATGCAGACTTGGGCTCACCAAGGCTACTGTAACATTGGCATGAATGTGGACACTATCGCAGGCCCATACAGTGGACGAACTGTGCATGTTGAGATAAGTGTGTGTTTAAGCTTCTGATCTGACACTGCCGAAGTTAGGTAATTTTGGTGAAAAAGTCAGACCCCATCACTTTCCCAGGTCAGTGGGTGCGGCTTTTTCTTAGGGGTACATTTTCAGGTTATGTGTACGTGGCACATAGCCCGTGATGAACGGCCCAAAGACACTACATAAAATGGAAAGTTCAAGGACCACTACCCCTACCTAGAAAGTTGCCGTGAAAATGTGTTGGCCTTTTCTATGTCCACCCTTCCTCAGCAGGTCCGTCTATGTCACCCACATCGGAAGGCCAGGCTATGTATCACCGGCGATCGCGACCGCAGGCCATTTTACTGCCCATGGTCGGGATCCCGAGTGCGGGCATGAAACCCCGCAAATTTTTTCGGGGCCTAAAAATAGGCAAAAAATAATAATAATAAAAAGGGCGTGTAGATAAAAAAAAAATTCTACACGCCTATGATTTTTAATAATTTTTTTCTGACATCTACTGGAAGGGAAAGAAATAAAAAACGAAAATGGAAATTAAAAACAATAATAAAAAAAAAAAACGGTGATGATTTTTTTTTTCTTCATATTTTTGGTTTGTTGGGCCGGTGGCAATACACTGGCCCACACACACACACACGCACACACCATCAATCAATCAATCAATCAATCAATCAATCAATCAATCAATCAATCAATCAATCGATCAATCAATCAATCAACGAACCAATCGCAATCAATCAATCAATCAATTTGATTGA